TATATATATATATATATATAGAGAGAGAGAGAGAGAGAGAGAGAGAGAGAGAGAGAGAGTCCTGGTGTGGTGCAGTGGGTTAATGCACTGGACTGCAAGTTGGTTTGAACCACAAGGCTGGTGGTTCAAGCTCACCAGCTGCTCCTCAGGAACCCTAAACAGGGTCACTATGGGTTGGAACTGACTCAACGGCACTTAACAATATATATATATGTATATATACATATATAGGCTTCTGGTATGGTGCGTAGGTCAGCACTGGACTACAAAACACAAGGTCTGCAGTTCAAACCCACCAGTTAAGTGCCGTTGAATCAGTTCTGACTCATAACAACCCTGTACAGGGTTTCCAAGGAGTAACTGGTGGGTTTGAACTGCTTATCCTATAGCACCACACCAGGATTCCATATATGTAAGTTGTTGTTGTTCAGTTTTATCAGTCAGTTCCGACTCATAGCGACCCTGTATAGGTTTTTTGAGGCTGTAAATCTTTACTGGAGAAGAAAAGCTCATCCTTATCTCACGGAGCAACTGGTAGTTTTGAGCTACTGACCTTGCAGTTAGCAGTGCAAGTTGTACTTCACCATGCTACCAGGGCTCCATATATAAATGCATGTATATGCATCTGTGTACATATATATGTGTATGGCATTGTGGGTCTTAGCAACAACAACAACAAACTCGGAGCAGTGGGGAATTTTAATATTTTTGGATCAAAGTTGATCGTGCTAACTGAAACCACAGAAAGCAAAGCCACAAATTAGGGGGCACTACTGAATATGGTGTTCTATGTGTTGTGTATGGCTGCAACACTTCATAAATAAATTAACTGGGCAAGACAAGAGAAACGAGAGAGAAAGGAAAAGCTTGTATCTTTGGCAATTTGGTTCCACTGTGGCTTTGGAACCCTGGTGGCCCAGTGGTGAAGTGCTCCATGAGAGAAAGATGTGGCAGTCTGGTCCTGTAATGACGACAGCCTTGGAAACCCTATAGCACAAGTTCTACTTTGTCCTGTAGTCAGAGTCGACGATGCAGTGGGTTTGAGTTTTTGTTAGGTTGGATTCTTGAGTGAAGATATGAGGAAAAAATAAGGTTTTTAAAAGATTCATCTGTCATTTCAAGTGTCAGTTTAATGATCTGAAATGAAGCATCACTGGCAGAGAGCAAGAGCCCAGAGAGATGTGCAGAGCACAACACACCTCTCTCTCTGCATGCGTGCATGCGGGGCTCGTGCTGAGGCACCCCCGCATTTGAGAAGCCTCAAAATTCAGGGAAGAAGGCTCTGGAGAGGGCGAGTCTAGGTGAGGCCGGGCACTTGGCAGATGTCCAGCAATCCAGGAGACAACGCTCCTGCTCTCCTGTTAGCTCTCCTGGGTACATTGTAGGTGCTCAAACTCAGGCCTGGGGAGAAGCATGAGACATAGTCCTAGCAATTCTTGGTATTAAATTCAGTCCGGCTTTTCCAACATCATCCATTTCCACCCCTGGCTATGCCAGATGGCAATACATAAAAACTTAGGAACTGTGGTTTCAATATAAATTTCACCTCAACATAAAGGAAACAAAAATCCTTACCACCAGACCAATAAGCAACATCATAATAAATGGAGAAAAGATTGAAGTTGTCCAGGATTTCATTTTACTTAGATCAAAAACCAACACCTACAGAAGCAGCAGTCAAGAAATCAATGTACTGCACTGGGCAAATCTGCTACAAAACGATCTCTTAAGAGTTTATATGCAAAGACGTCATTTTAAAGACTAAGATTCGCCAGACCCAAGTCACGGTATTTTCAATTGCTTGGTATGAATGGGAAAGCTGGGCAGTGAATAAGGAAGACCAGAGAAGAACAGATGCCTTTGATTACAGAGAAGAATGTTGAGTGTGTCAGGAACTGCCAGAAGAATGAACAAGTAAGTCTATCCTGGAAGAAGTACAGTCAGAATGCTCCTTAGAAGGCAGGATGACAAAGGCTCATCTCAATTACTCTGAGCATGTTATCAGGCAAGAACAGGGCCTGAAGGACATTATGCTAGGTAAAGTAGAAGGTCAATGAAAAAGAAGAAGACCCTCAATGAGACAGATTGTCCACTGGCAGCAATAATGTGCTCAAACCTAGGAAAGATTATAAGGATGGTACAGGACTGGGTAGTGTTTCAATCTGTTGTACACAGTCTCTATGAGTCAGAAATGACTCAAGAGTACCTAAGAACAACAACAACACAGAATAGTGACCCTCTCTATATCAAAACACTTTCCTCATTTAATCTTTCCAGAAAGACTTGATGAGGCCCAGTGATGAGCTTTGGTTTATAGTTCTTTTTTACTACTAATCTAAAGGTTGGCAGTTCAAAACCACTCAGTGGCACCATGGAAGAAAGGCCTGGCAATCAGCTTCTATAAAGATTACAGCCAAGCAAACCCTATGAGGCAGTTCTACTCTGTAACACACGGGGCTGCTAGGAGTCAGTCAAGCCTATGGCAAGAGTTTTAGTTTTTGTTTTATGAATTATAAGGCGTCCTGGGGAAGTACAAATGGTTCATTGTGTGGCTACTATCAGCAAGGTTGGTAGTTCAAATCCACCCAGATGAGCCTCAGAAGAAAGGCCTGGCAATCTAATTCTGGAAAACTACAGTCACTGGAGGAAAAGAAAGAAAACCCCACTGGTTTTCAGTTCTACTCCAACACACATGGGGTCACTGTAAGCTGGAATCGACACAACAGCAATTGGTTTCGGTTTTTCTGTTTTATAATGTTAGCTCCACACTGTTAGACACAGAAAGATGCAAGAGCAATCATTCTGAAACAAGGACACTGGGCAGCTGCAGCTTTGTTTGAAGCCCTACGTCCTTGGTGATGTACCAGACACTGTTCTAAAAGGACCCTCATGCAGGGTTATTATACTCAATTTCTATCCAAACCCTTCTTAATTACATTAGGCTGCAGTTAATTTCTTCTGAGTCTTGTCTACCCTTTCATGGGCTAGATCTGTGACCTTATGATAATCGATTTAGTTTATGCTTTGTTTCTGTTTGTGTCGCATGAAACTATAAAAGAATGTCAGTGACTGAGAGGCCTGGCCACATCAGTCAGAATGCATCTCATGGACACGGCAGGCCCTGGGCATCCACATCACACCACCGTGCCCTCAGATGGCCCTCTGTGCTTCCTGATTCCACTCAGTGGGTGCTGAGTTCAGGCAAGCTAAGTTCCCCCACATTTTGCTCCAAATTCCAGAGGGCATCGCTCAGCAGGGTAAGGGAAAGAACCACAATGAGAGTGACTCATTTGTTCAACCAATAGTTACTGATTATCTTCTAGGAAAAAGGGCCCTGGGGCACAATGGTTCTGCACTCAGCTGCTAGCTAAAAGGTTCATGGTTATAAACCACCCAACATCCCTACAGGAGAAAACTCTGGAGATATGCTTCTGTAAAGGTTAAAGCCTAGAAGATCCTAAGAGGCAGTTCTACTCTGACATGTAGGGTCGGGATGCTATGAGTCAGAAGTGACTTGATGGCACCCAACACCAAAACAAGTCTTCTAGGTGATCACCGGAGCTAGATGTGAGTATACTTATCTCTTAAGTGGGTTCTACACCCTGGAGTCCTGGTGTGGCACTGTAAGATAAGCACCACATTGCTTTAACTGCAAGGTTGGTGGTTCAAACCCACCAGTCACTCCTTGGAAACCCTATACAGGGTTGCTATGAGTTAGAACCGACTTGACAGCATTTAACAATAGCAACAACAACACACCCTGAGGAGGAAACTTCTGACCAAAGCATAATTCCTCATCATTTATTGTATGATTATTTCTCATTGTGAAAATGTTAATGATCATTAAATATCAAAACAGCACTGAAAAGCACTTTAAAGATTTTTCTGTTACTAATCAATTACATAATTAGTCATTATTAACACTATTGGTTACTATTAATATCTAATGCCATTAATCAATATAGATTTTATTGGTTAATATTAATTGCTAATAGCTCATTAGTAAAGTAATTCATAGCCCCAAACAGTTGACAGCACTTGAAAAACTGGGATGATGAAAAAGTTGGAGAAACTGAGAATGGTGACTACAGAGTACTGGGCTGTGATTAATGTCACGAGGCGGCACATTTGAAAAATTAAAACAAACCAATAAATCAGATGGATTTTTAAAGCACTCTGTGGTGGAGAATGCACCCTCAGCTACTTCAAAACGAGAGGGCTTGTTGGAATGGAAATCGGAGCTCTTAGCATGATAGGTAGTGGTTATGAGTCAGGCGGCTAACTTCAAAGTCAACAGTTCAAAACTACCAACCGTTCCATAGGAGAAAGATGAGGCTTGGTGCTCTCGTAAAGATTGACAGCCTCGGACACCCTATACAGAGTCGGAATCAAATCCATGGTACACCACCAACCAACCACCATGATAGCAGGTCACAGTCCTCTTTGAAAACTTTGAAGCCTAGAATATAACCATATATAATTTTGCATAAAATACAGGGAGCTCACTCACCCCTTGAAAGTCACTGGGTGGGTAGTTCTGAACAGAGGAGAGTAAAAAGAATCACTGTTTCACCTTGTATTTTCATTCAATTTCCCTTCTTAAGTGCCTGCCTTAAGCAGATTCATTTAGCTTTTTCTTTTTGACAACAGATGCAATCAAC